TATCGTATATTATAATATTAATTGATAAATTATTACCGAAAACGATCGTGAAGTTTGTTTAATCGGATGTCAATTAACATTTCGTTCCAATAAACGCAGTTTCACTGTATTGCACCTACTTCTATATTACCCAACTTGGCAAAAGTCGAATAAATTTGCACAGCGGTAAAATAAAAAGTATTAACTTATCGACTCTTAACTTGTCAATTTGCCAAAAATTAACGCCATTGATCGGTAAATTATAGCGAAAGGTGAGCAGAAAAACACAATTCGCGATTCAACTGGACGATCCTATAATATTCGATATTCGTGTTGCGATATTCCCTTGATTTTTATCCAGTCGAATGAAATTGTAAAATATCGAAACGAGAAGGATATTACACCTATATTATCCTATTATATGTGAACTCTTAACTTGTCAATTTACCAAAAATTAACGCCAAAAATTAAAATTAATCGGTAAATTATAGCGAAAGGCGAGCAGAAAAACACAATTCGCAATTCAACTGGACGACCCTACCGTGTTGCGACATTCCCTTGATTTTTATCCAGTCGAATGAAATTGTAGAATATCGAAACGAGAAGGATATTACACCTATATTATCCTATTATATGTGAACTCTTAACTTGTCAATTTACCAAAAATTAACGCCAAAAATTAAAATTAATCGGTAAATTATAGCGAAAGGCGAGCAGAAAAACACAATTCGCAATTCAACTGGACGATCCTATAATATTCGATATTCGTGTTGCGATATTCCCTTGATTTTTATCCAGTCGAATGAAATTGTAGAATATCGAAACGAGAAGGATATTACACCTATATTATCCTATTATATGTGAACTCTTAACTTGTCAATTTACCAAAAATTAACGCCAAAAATTAAAATTAATCGGTAAATTATAGCGAAAGGCGAGCAGAAAAACACAATTCGCAATTCAACTGGACGATCCTATAATATTCGATATTCGTGTTGCGATATTCCCTTGATTTTTATCCAGTCGAATGAAATTGTAGAATATCGAAACGAGAAGGATATTACACCTATATTATCCTATTATATGTGAACTCTTAACTTGTCAATTTACCAAAAATTAACGCCAAAAATTAAAATTAATCGGTAAATTATAGCGAAAGGCGAGCAGAAAAACACAATTCGCAATTCAACTGGACGATTCTATAATATTCGATATTCGTGTTGCGACATTCCCTTGATTTTTATCCAGTCGAATGAAATTGTAGAATATCGAAACGAGAAGGATATTACACGTACATTATCCTATTATATGTGAACTCTTAACTTGTCAATTTATTAATATCGTTAATCGGCGAATTACCTCCAAAGACGATCTTAAAGTTCATTTAACCAGACGCTAATTAAAATTTCGTCCCACTAAGTGGACTGTATCCACTGTATCGTATTTCTTCATAATCAAAAGAACGTTCATGAGCTTAGCTCAGCCGGTATACGGTTCAAACGGAACCTGAAAGGATTTATCGATTGCAGACGGAGGGGGAGGACATCAGCAAGTTGGAGAAAGCGGACATTCTGGAGCTGACGGTGCGCCATTTACAAAGGCTACAGGGCTCGCGATCTTCTGGATTGTCGGGCACGATTACGAAGAACGAAGAGGCATCGGCCGAAAGTCGATGGCTGTCCGGTTTCGGGCATTGCGCAGCTGAGGCGTACAGATTTCTCTCTGCGGTTCCAGGTGAAGGCGCGGAAAGGTTAGCGAGACACCTCGCAGCTGGCCTTCAAAAGAGCCGGCAAACGAATTCGACGGTAATTATCTCATCATCGATGATCGGAAGACAATAAGGCGAAAGTGGCCAGACCCGTGAACATCACCGGATAATTCATCGTTCTTCTCACCGAGATTGACACCATCGCGTGTCCTGTTTCAGTTTTTTTTCCACGTGTGCGTGTTACTTTGCCTGCCGGTCAGATGAAATTGCACGATCGGCCAGCTTTGTAACTTGTCACTCTATGTAATTTCCCTGTGATTAAGATTATTCCGAAAAATCGTGTCAGCTGTAACACGTTTATTTCGCTTCTTTTTCGCGTCAAATTTCGTCGATATATTCTACTTTTCCGATGTCGAAAATCTTACACCATCCAAGTATCACAGACGTATATACAGTTCCGTTCAACCGTATCAACAGGAACATAAAAAAATGTGTTATCAATTTAATTTTCTAAAGTTGAAATTATTTTCAATTATATTTTAAAAATACATCTCGTTCGTTTGTATTGAATTGACAACTAAGCAATCACTTAATTGCCAATCCAATAGATCGCATTTCATTCTTCGTCGTTGATCTCGTATATTTTGTTCGAGAAAAATATCTTGCCACGTTCTTTCATAATTTCGTCAATTTTGTAGACGAAAAATCGAAAATCATTTGTACTCTTTGCTGCACTCGCAGTTTTCTAAACTAATTTATCATGTTGCTTTTAATGTTTGCAACAGCTGAAAACGAGCATGTTAACGCAAACTTTGGCAAGTCTGGATCTCACTGCTGATATACTGGCACCTTTGATTACAAATTCCGCTAGGGAGAACGTCCAAGTAACGTCTTCCAATCAAAACGCAATGCCGTGTCGTGGAGTAACACACGAAAAAATCGTCTTGAATATTTCACCTGAATGCGACACCACGGTGACCTTGGAAAATAAGAAAAAATTGAATACGAGATGCCGTTCTCACGCGAAAGACTTCACGGAAGAACGAGTGGCGAAGAGAGTTAAAACGGAAGTCAAAGTCGAGGATGACGAAGAAATTGACGTGGAACGCGTTGACGAAGCTGACCCTATGTGGCGGCCTTGGTAATTTTAATAAAACTATACGTTAACAGTTCTCTTAATTTATATTAAAGTTATGTAAATATAAAGTTCCAGGATGCGTCATTAATATAGCTTTAAAGGATGTTTGTTAAGTTTATATCTACACTAGTATTAGTACAGTTTTACTTAATTAACAATCTGCTGTTTAGATTGTTGGAAAACCGGGAAATGACTTGGCTTTGTTTCAGTTTGCGGTTGGCGTTAATAATTAAAAAGTTGATCGAAAATCGTAAACAATTTTACGTTATTTTATTCCAACCGATCAATTTTATACGAATTTCATTACTTTCGATGTTTTGAGATTATGAGTGATACAGTTATACATATACAAAACTATAGTGAATATGAACAACATACTCCAAGCAGAGCTAAAATGAAAATTTACAAGAGATATGCATATATTTTGTAACTATTTAATGCGTTTAAGAATTTATTTAGAGACTAAGGTATTTCTTGTGTTATCAATGTTATAAGGTACTTTAACAAAGTAATTTAGCTTTTTACCGAGTGAAGATATTAATTATTCTATGTTGAATCTTGTTTGCTCGAGATATACTTTAATATTACTTCCTATTCATCTTTATTACATTATCTGTACTGTTACGTTGTTTACCAGTATGTCACGAATCTTTTATTATACCGATAAATTAGTGTTAGTTTGTATAATTTATTTCTGATATTAATATATTAAAAATGTATTTACTTCTATTTTTATCGTATTTATGGACGCGAAACATTGTATCGTAACGAATAGTCGATCTCATTGTTTAGAATATAATTTGCAAATGCACAAGATAATCATTTATAGACGGATAAATTAATTTTCCTATTATTCAAGGCTATCTTTTAGAAGAAACATTTACAATGACATTAGAAAAATTGTATCCTAAATAAGGAAAATAATTAATTCCATACTCTTTAAAGTGAAACGTGATAACGTTTATACGAGGAGAAAGTATTCTATCTTAAGAAAAAATGTCATATTTTTTAAAACATAATCTACAAATATTTGTAAGCATTACTATTTTTACGAATTCGTGAACGATAAAAAAATTTCTAATTTTTATTTTGTACCTTTTTTTCGATCTGAGAGGTATAACGTGTTTAAAACACATACGTATGCACATTGTGATAAATAACATATAATTATAATGATTTTTTTAATGTTTAAAAAAGTTCAAGGTAGAAATGTTTACGAAGTACGCGGACTTATCAAAAAATAATTACCGTTATAATAATATCATCGTATTTAAGAAATAGGTAATATATTTATGTTTCCATTTATAGATAGGTCTTTTAATATCATATTCATTAATTATCTACTATTAGATACTCTTGTCTTTCAATTACGAGTAACGACTAATTAATATTTCGCAAGAACATGTTTCAAGGCTGATGTGCACCTGTAAACAGCAATTTTAACGTACAATTGTGATAAATCTTTTTGGTACTTGGCTTTAATATAATTAATATATCACATGTTAAATATTCCTACTCTTAGGTAATAACTATATTAGTATCTACTATGTTATTATGTAACAATAAGATGTCCATAAAAAATGGTCTTCCTACACGAAATGATAGGGGCAATAAAATAAAACAAAATCATTTTGTAAATAAAAAATATCGGAAATACATATTTATATAATCCTATCGCGCTTTTCCATTCATTTCGATTCAATTGTGTCCTTTTATCGTTAAGAAATTCCACGAGTCTGAGAATATTAAATTATAGTTCAACATTCGATGAAAGTCTTTCTTGCAACATTGAAAGTATCTTTTATTCGATGAAATAAATTTCGTAACAAACTGTCATCGCAACTATCTATCATTTTTGCTTCAACAAGACTCAAATCAAACGCGTCGTATCGTTGCTATTTACATCTACGATACTATATTAATTTGTTATCGTGTTTCCTATAATATATATTTGAAATATGATTGCAACGAAATATAAAAGAAATATTTGTAATCTAGTTGTAAACGTCTAAGACTAATCGCAATCCATTTCCTTCAAAAACAGGAAAAACAGGATTTCTATGGTCAAGAGCAACAGCGTATTAATATCTATCACTGGATAGTACAGATCTGTGTGGGAAATCTTGCGGTTTTTAACGAAACCATCGTATCCTCTCGAGCTTCTATATAAAGCTGCGAGTGATTGCAATCATCAACAGTTTCTAGTACAGAGGCGTTAGTCGTTCGAGTCGTGACATTTTCCTTCTACTTTTTCCCTATTCGATCGTCCATAATAATCGAAGTTTTCCACGAGTTTCACCATTTCGTTAAATACTTGTCAGACGACAAATTCATAGAAAACGTATATTGATTAACGCGCGGCGCGTAAAATTGCCATTAATTGCGTTTCTTTCGTTTTTCTCACCATTATTCAATCGTAAAATTACCAGTCAAAATGTCGACTGATAAATCCGGTATTTTGTATCTATTTGACCGACCTGCCGAACCAGTTTACGTACCTAAAGGCGAAGATAAAGTCGCCTTTGATATTCCAGCCGCTTATTTGGTAAGTACTACTTTTTATCGGATTATCCGTTATTTTTAAATTATTCAAATAATAAATGATAATATCTTACTCGCGCGATTGGCAAATATCCGATTATTAGTTTGTTCCTGTGTCTTAAATAAATCTCGTGACAACGATGTCACAATGATCATACATATGAATTTTATAGACTAGAAAAACGTGGTAAAATACCATCAAAATCCACCAATGGTTACATTTCTATTCTTATAACGAAAAAATTAGATTTGAACGACGATTCCCATTATCTTTCCTTGATACGTATATTTCGAAAAATATTGCCTCAGATAGCTTAAACTATAAATAATTCGTAGAATTTACTCTTCTTTTCACGATTTTATACGTTTCCAATCATCTACACAGCCGGACAGGTATCGTCCTGTCGCTGCCCAAGTGTTCAATCGGTTCGGCGAGGATACAGATTCGAAACTTCAAGTGAAGCAGATTACACTTCCCGATCTTACTATCCCGATGCAACTTGGACGTCACCAGCCATTTTCGCTGTTTATTCCAGCGCATCGAAGAATAGCTACCCGGTTAATTGACATTTTCATGGGTATGTCACTGTTTCTTCATTTCTATAGTTTCTTATTTTCTTGCGTATAATTTTTCAAATAAAATTCAAGAGTCGTGTATTTCGTTAATTATACTAATAATTCTTCACTATAACGAAATTTAAAGTGCGGTCTATCCATTGCGAAACTGTTTATTCGTTAAAATGCAATTATAACTTTTGGAAAGATGACAACTATCCGCGAAAAATTCGCAAATCGGCGTGTACA